TTTTGGATTTATATCTGTAAGTGTGGGATTTCCTGGACAGCTAATATCCACAAACAATCAGGCGCGGAGGAGCATGAGAAAGAAGCAGCGTTGGTTCAGACCGGAGCTCGGAGTCGTGATTTTTAAAGGGCTGAGACAGGAACTGCAGCTGAAACCCGAGGCAAGTGAATTCCTTCCCTAGGCACCGACGGACACCGCCGTGTTTCTCTTGGCCGCGCCGGGAGCTTCGAGGTCACTCGCTTTGGGATATTACAGCAAAGAGGGATCTCGGCATCACCAAAACTTTGAACGTGACAAATAACTCCAATCTGTCCCCATCCTTAGGGGATTTTTTTTTTTTTTTTTAATTCCTGATGATACTTCTCTGAAGAGTCAAACCTTTTTTACGAGACCTGTTGCCAATATTAGTGCCACCGAATGATCTCATCTTTCATTCTGGCTAAATTCCAACACACAATTTCATTAACCCAGGTACTGCAGGTGATAAAACTCATTTTTCCCTAAAGAGACAGCTAAAAAGTACCAGTTATACATTTATGAAGTACCAGCAATCAAAATTATGGATTTTCTAAAAGGTTTTTAACTACTTTTATTGAAAGGAAAATCGCTGTCTCAGACTTTTGTGACACTATTGCTAATAATAAATTTTACCATTTAGACAGAGCAGTAATACAGTAGACAGTGTCAATAAAAGTATGAAACAAAGATGATCCTCGTCTCTTAAGTAATGCTTTCTGATTACACACCGGAAATTATAATGTGAAACATAAACTAAGAGCACCTGAAAGTATAAAATGTAATAAGGCACGACGATATATGCCTCCCTTTCTACACCCAGCGTGCAGGAATAGTTGAGGACACAGAGTCAGCAGGCACTGGAGCTATTTTCCAGTATCGCCAGCATACTAACCACGAGATTAAAAGCATTTATGCATGCATATAAAGCTGGAATTACGCGAGTTAGTTCAAGCTCACTAGCTCCGCACGCTCCTGGGGAGCGGGCTGCGCGGGGGCATTTGGGATGCGACCCTTCCTTGGGAGATTTTGGGCAAACTTTTCTCTCGGGCGAGAGAGACATTCCACATTTCACTAGAGGGCACTGTGGGATTTAGGCCACTCTGACCTCTCTTTTTTGCCAGGCGGCTATCGGAAAGGTCTTGAACTTCCGCGCCGCGCTGGGAAGGTTAATCCGGACGCTGCAACGCGGGAATTGCAAGGGCAGCTGCGCAGGAGCCCAGCGCRGCGCGCGGCTCCAGGCACCGGAGAGCATCGTCTCCGCAGGGATGCGGGGCCAGGAGCATCGCTGCCCGCGGCTCCCGCGGGGATATAAAACATCAAGGCATATACATACTTAATATATACATATATATATGTATATATAAAATATATGTACAGGCAGCCTCTTTGCCCTGGCTACCTGCATGATTAAAAGCCTCCGTTTGCACTAAGGGGAGATGATTTCACTGCTGAGCGTTTTGACATGCAAATGATAGCAATTAATGCACTTGGAACAATTTATGATTTCCGGGCCTACTTCAACATGTATTAGCATATACCTGGTTTCTTTAATATGCACTTTGTTTTTGCAAAACCACAAACATAGTTGCTGGAATTTCATGTGGAAGTGCTTAAGGGGTTGAAAGTTAACACCTTTGTGAGTCGAGCAGTCTCCCAGTTGCTGCTAAACAAAAGCCTCTTTGTAGGAGCTTTCTCGAAATGTTTTCTTAACATGTTCCAAGTAGTTTTAGGCAGGCAACTAAAGTAAACAAGATGTTACCATGATAAAAACACTTGTGAAAACATTACAGAGCGCACTTAGTAGTTTCTTTCACATAAGCTCTCCTTGGCTCTTCAAAGTTAAATTCTGCAGGGAGCAGATTTGCAGCCTCTCGGTACTGCAGGGTCTCCCAAAGGTGGATGCGGGGTGTTTGGGGAAGAGCTGTGATTTTAAAAGGGCACAGCAGTGATTGAACACACCCAAATTACCATCAAAAAAAAAAAAAAAAAGGTAATGAAGTCATATTCAGTTTTATTCTGGGTGCCTGCATCCCTTGCTGAAAAAAAAAACACGTTCTCCCCGCAGTAGTGATTTCCTAGCGAGCTGCTGTGTCGGGATATACACATATATGTTTATCTGCACCTATACATGTATAGGTATTTTTCTCTCTCTAACGGCCCTTAAGCACATGCAAATGAAATCAAGGATATAGTGAGTTTTTAAGGAAAGCCTGCGTGCTCCTGATTGCTTCTTTCGCCGCAGCCTGTGCCGGGGATCATCCTAGTTAACACGCAAGCCACGTGTGCACCCGCCAGCCTTCGCCTTGCTTTGCAGGGCTCGGGAGAAGGCCATCAGGTCGCAGCGGTGCCACCGGACTTGTTTTTGTTTTTAGGCTCTGGCAGCATTCTGGGCCATGCAGGGTGCTGCTGTTTCATTAGGCTTAGCTGAAGCCCCTGCTGCTATCAGTTAGCTCTAACTGATGCGACATCGCATGATAACCCATGGCTGATAGATTAAGAACAAAACAACAACAACAACAAAAAAAAACCCAGCCCAACACTAAAACTGCAACTTATTTCAGAGARAAATAGGGAAATAAATGTGTACAATAGGCTGTGTATCTGCTGGTTCTGATAAGCATCCTCCTGTTGGCTGTGAGTGAAAGACAACCAGGATCGTTATTTGTACAGTATTTATCTTTGAAATCAAGGGCCCTGTGGTGTACCTCACCTTGGGAACAAACACTACAGAATGATCACAGAAGAGTGTCAAATCTCTGGTTTTGATTTACCAACAGTTATGATATTTCTTTCTCAGGAGGAAAAGAAATGAACCATGTTTTAGACCTGTGAGTCCTTTTTTCTCCCTTAACTGCAGAATCATTTTATTGGCATACAGAGCTTTCATTCCGCATATAACTCCTCTTTGCTTTCTCTAAGAGGGCTTTTTACAGAGCTAAGTGAAATTAAGCAACGCTTAGTTGCTGCACAGGCTGTATTTTGCTTGGTAAAYGGGAGCTCTTCTCTTAAGGGGCTGTTGGAAAATCTTCATGGATTATACAAGTACCAGAAACAAACTTAAAGCATCTACCGGTTATCTCTTCGTTGAGGAATGTTTTTTTCATAAACACCAACATAATTTAAGGACAGGTGCTCCACAGGAGACTTGAGGACACACTCCCTTCCTGACAGCATGAATAGGCTGCCCAGGGACATTAATTTCTGCATTAGTTCTGTGTTAAATATCACCCCCTAACAATGCAACTTTGTCTGCAGCCAGTTTCTTACGTTGTAGAATCAGGATAATGAGAAAATCTACACGAGTTGATGGGTTTAAGGCAGGCACACAAGATATTTCCATTGAAATATTTTAAAGGGGAGGGGAAACAAATTTAAAAATTAAAAAAAGGATGCTTTGAAAGAGTAAGCAATAAAAGAATTGAAATTTTGGAGCTGGGAAGAGATGAAACCAGCTCTTGCTGACGAGCACTGCACCTCCAGCTTAGGCTTGTGATGGTTTTCAGGCTACTTCTCCCTCTTGACGGCCCAAGTGTCTCCTCCAAGGGAAATGTCAGATTTGGTCCACTTATTGAAGTGGCTCAAAAATAATCAAAGGATTTTTGACTCAAGGGCCTCATTTTCCACACACAACCACACCGAGGAGCACACTGCGCCCCAGGAAGGCTCACCAAAAGCAGCAGACGGATGAGGAACAGAGGATACCACCACGGGAGGAAGAGGTGGCACGTGCCGACCTCGCAGGACTACAAAACTTACTCCAGAATCTAAGGCTATCACAGCACCTTTCCCTGGCGCTAGAAACATCATAAAAATCTGAATTGTTTCAAAGGTCTAAATGCTATAGTGTAGCATATGAATATGAATGAGCTGGCAAGTATGGAGAGATTAGCATTTATTTCACTTAAGTGAACAACAGGATGAATTAAAAGAAAAGAGGCCACCCTTCATGGAAATTTATGACTAGCACCTTCTTATTTTGTAATCCTCTTGTAATGAGAGCCTTCTCATTACTCTATCATTCCTTACTTCAATATATGTTCATACTTGGACCCAATGTTGCTCGTACCAAATTCAGGAGGATTTTTGCCAGTGATTTCAGTGGAAGCAGAACCGGCCCATTCTGTTCTGAGAGCAAAAACCTATCTATTTCTCACGATACAAGAGACATCCTCTCATTTGCTGCCTTCCTCTCCTCCCTTACCCCTCTAAAAATTCAAGGAGCTGCCCCAGAAGGACGTAACTAAGAGCTGGGGGATTAATTCTACTCCTGTATCCCAAAGGAAGATGCGTGGAGGGGCTGGGCTGTCGATCCTCCGCTGCCTTGGATGCTCGCGCTACCGCACACCACGTGTACAACCGGGTTCCTTGGCAGCGAGGAACGGTCTGCAGCAAACTGCAGGGGCCCAATTAATATAATTACAGCTTATTTTTAGGAGTTTAGACTTTGTTCATTAGTTACTTATTTGACACAAATTAAATTTCACGTGATGCTCTGCAATGCTCTGTTCAATTACGGCGCTAATTTCAGACTAGATTTCTAAATTAAAGTGAAACCAAGGTTAAGTCAAGGTTATATTATTCACATTATCAATACTGCAACTTAAAAAAATTCAAATAATAATTAAAAAAAAAAGCAGGCTGCAGAATTGCCAACACTGTATTTTACAGCAATACACTGCACAAGACCACACTTTTCCCACAGGGATAATTTACTATCCCCTGCTAAAAAGTTCTTGGGCCGGATCCAAAAGCCACTGAAGTTAAAGGGCATTTTCTGGCAACTCCAGTGGGCTTTGGATCAGGCCCCCGGTTAGTGACAAAACGTGGAGACATGCTTCCTGCGCAACGCGAGCGAGTGCCAACAAAGCCAGGCTTACTTTAGGAACGACTGGAAGTCTTCGCAGACGGCTTCGCAGCCCGGCCATTTGCACACGCCGTGTCCGTAGAGCGGATGGCTGTGCGAGTGCTCCTCGTGGGATAAACTGCGGGAAAGAAGGAGAGCAAGGGCTGTAACCGCACGGATCCGCCGCCACAAACACTCACCCGAGACACCCCGGGACACCCCTTTCATCGCGCGGTACCCAGCTGATCTGCCCCTGTTTTTTCAAAACAGAATTAAATACCATTTGCAGTGAAGCATGTGTCATTCGCACTCAGCCGCCCTCCCACATTTCATTCATTAATTAGAAGCTTTGTAAGGAATTTAAATCAACATGGACAGGGAGAAGAAATCATTTGACAGACCTGCTTAATATCTGGCTTGGTATTTTGCTGAGAAATTTATGAACGTTGCATATTTACAACCCAGCTTCATTAGGATGAGAAGCCATCCCCATACAGCAATGTATTTTTAAAACCCAGCATGACCAGGACCTAAGGCCTTCCACGACACCATGGAAAGAGGAAAAGCACCGGGTCTGCAGTCCCGCTTTCCCACCACATTATCTATATATAACTATATGTCTATACATAGATAATATCCTTTATTTTCCTTGGTCTTGCAGGATGTTGTGGGATTTTTTTGCCTTGTTTTGTTTATTTATTTGCACAAGTACAGCCTTTTTATATCCCAGTGAAAAGGCCCAGTGCTATTCTCCAAAGTAAAATTCATCCGGAAAAGGGAACCACATCGTCGCAGGGTTCTTCAGTGTGAGGGGCTAACGGGGGCTCTTGACCCCGCTAAGATTTGGCAGAAACACCCCAGAGCTTTCGGACTACCAAAACCTGGGTTAAAGCGCAGATCCCGACGCACACGAAGGGGTTAATCCTCCAGCGGGATTCCAATCAATACGTAATGATTTGGCTGCACTGATCCAAGTCATGAGACGCTTTGATCCAGGCCATGTGGTGCTCAGGGAAATGTATCTGTTGCACTAACTGATGAACCATATTCTGAAGTATCTTCTTTTATTCAACTTCTGCGTGGAAACTTCTTAAGGAATTATTTTTGCAACAATTTCTATAACCTTAGATGACTTTAAACGTAAAAATGTCAAAATAATATTAAAATCTCTATTTTATGCTCACACACATATCTATTTTTCATAGCAATCTCTTTTTTGCTAGAGTATGCCTGTGCCGTATTATGAACTTCAAACATACACAAAGGATATGAACACATACCAGCATCTAGGTGTGGTTTTATGACTTATTTTAGCCTGGATTACAGGTAACGTTATAGATAAACACCTACTTTTTGATATTTTATGCTTATACACACGTGGAAATGCCATTTATTCCTGTTCTGTAATATTACCTGCCTGTGTACTCTAACAAAATTTTATTCATGTATTATTTCTTAAGCACATAGCAAGTCACTGTGGAACACACTCCTACGATGCCATCTCAAATAGAAAGAACTTGCATGAAAAATCCCTGCCAGAACCAAACTGCGTTTTTGACTGTTTCCAAATAGTTCTTAAAGTAAACAGATATATACATACACACACACACACAAAAACAGACTTTAAAAAACAAAAACAACACCCACGAACCTACAAATCTCCTCCTGTAAAGGTTTTTTCTATTAGGAAATGCTGCAATACTGCGCTGGCTTAATGTAATCAGTTTTTAAAACATACAAGCTCTATCTGATGAGCTTTTAAAAGAATCAAGGCATCAATGCTTTCCTTACAATGAAATGAGGGGAGAAGGGGAAAAAAAAAAAGAAAAAAAAGCTATGCCACCCATTTCATCAATGGTTGAAGATGGTTGAAGGATCACTGCTCACTCAAGCCACGAGGCTGGAGTCAAATGCTCTCTATACGTGTCAGAAGAGAATAACTGGGGAAGTAATAACAATTTAAGCCCTTCCCTGTGCTGTAAGTACGACTCACCAAAACGCTGCTTTCTGCAGCAAAGCCAGTTTTGGGAGCTCCCTTTTTTCTCCCGAATAAACTGCTCTCCCTCCAGCAGGGAATCAAGAAAAGCAYGAGAAGTCTGGGCTCCTCTAAAGTCCGGGAAGACCAGGAGAGGAGCAGTTTCAATGTGTGTGACAACACTCAAAATTCAGCATGTTCATTCACACCAGCAACATGCCCACATACCAAGACCCCTAGAGAAACACCACGTGCCTCAAGCCAGCAGCAAGTCCTCTGTGGCTCTACACCCCCTGCATCTCACTGTATGGGGCTAAAACCCCCAGCAGGGGTTTTCAAGTTTCCATGCAACAGCATAAAGGCCATGGCCAAGCCAACAGGAGGAGTCCTACAGAGATTCGTCTTTCTTTCCTAAATCCAAGTGCAAATCTCTTGGCTTTCCAAGGATCTTGTGCAAGGCAGGACATGATACACTGGTGTTATGGCCAAGGAAAATGGCCAAGACAGAATCCAGGGTCAGCTCCACTCAGGATGTCCACCTCTGGGGCCATCAATAACCACAAAGCCTGGTGTTGACCATAAACTGGAACTTAAAAGGTCATTTTGCTAACAAGATGCTAAGCGCAACATACTTAACACCTATATATTTTCCATCACCATTCAATGAAAGTCCAACAATTCCCGAAACCTGGCAAAGGTAGGTGCCTTCAAGAAGGGAAAAAAACCTCTGTCTTTAAAGAAAAGCAGTGGGCAGCCGGTCACTTCACAGACAGTTTTTTGCCAACCCATTCTGAAACTTCTCAGCAGTACATTTTGGTGACCTTATGCGTCAATACCGGATTACTGCTATTCTAACCATCCAGACATCACAGATTGTCACTTGCTCAGTGACAGATTCACAAGAAGCCCCTCGAAACAAAACCAAGTGCAGTTTTATACAGAAGAGGGTAAAACATGGGAAGGCTGCAGACTGTGGCAATGAACGGAGCGCATCATTTCCCACTCACTTGGTTTAAGCAAATAGAGGTGGAAAATGAAGATTTAAATCCAATACATAAGCAAACAGCCTTGTAGGCACAATATAAACATATATTTCTAATTGTTCCATAATATTTTGCCTGCATGCAAGTGCAGTTCCCAAATTCTGGATGCATCCCCGGTCTCCCTGCCTGCAGCAGTATTTCAGAAGACCAGAACATTGGCAGGCACAAGCCAGTCTGGGGTCTGTTTGATTTCTAATTTCACATTAGAGTAGGTGTTTGCTTCTGTCACCCTCTCCTTCCCAAGGAGGCCTATTCCTGGTGGGGGATTGGGGAGTTAGCAGTAGTTAGTGGAAGAGATTTTTACAGCAATAGGCAATTTTCAATGTAATAAAAGGATAAACAGAGCATTTTTGGCCGTGCATTCTCCAGGTTCGGTAACATAAATTGCTGCAGATCTGCACAAGTCCTGGAAGCAAACTCGCCATATTCCCCAACAATTTGCACTGTTATAACCTTGTGCCTAAACAGCCCAAGTCCCTCACATCATTAAGGCCAATTAACTTCTGGAAAGGATCTGCTACGCTAGAGCCGACTCACGTTTTGGGACCCGAAACCACACGTGACAGAGAAACCACAGACAGCAAAGCCTAGATGAGAAGCCTAAAGGACAGGATACCCAAGAAAGATAGAAAAGCTCCAGATGCCTGTGAAAACAGTGACCAAAAACTGTCAGGAAAGCTATCAGTGATACCTGGTTTTATTCAACCCCTACTACCAACTGGGCACTGTGCTTAGAAACTGTGGCAAAAAATGCACGGGTGGATACAAAACCCAGGCAAGCAGGAGCCTCAGGAATATTTCTGCCACACAGCGGACCATATTTTAAATATTCCTGATGCTGACATACTTCACACTGCACTGTATCTTTTCCACATCTGCTTGGGCCAGCAATCATTGCCAGAACACGGCGGGAAGCTGATGATGCCGAGAAGTATCCCTGATTTTCTCGTCCAGTTAAGAAGCATCTGCTCACGTTCTGCACACAAACGGGCTACCTGCATGCTGGACTAAATCCATATCACCCGTTCTTCCTGCAAAGATGGTGAGCAGGGCACACAAAACCAGCAGAATGGCCTTTTTTGGTATTTGATCTGAACTCGAGGAGCACAATTTCCATTTTACTAGTGGCTAAAACTTGGAAGAGCATCAGGGACCTTTGGTAAAGGTGGCAACTCTTCACATTTTTGCTTGGTTGGAATATTTTTGGTTACTTTTTAAGCTCATCTTTCCCTCCTTTCCTACTGCTTTAGCCCACATCTAGACCTAGGACTGGAAGACAGTCATCAAGCCCTACTGGAAGCAACAGGAGAGGTACATTAAATTGGTATCATCCTTTAAAATGTAAGATAAATCAGGTAAAAACTACAGCGTACAGACTGAAATCCTGTAGGATTTCCACCAGTTTGAACCAGTAGCATTGCTATTGGCACCCAAGGCCAGGAAGGTGCTGGGAATTCTGCTTGCCGGGCATCCACTCTCCTCTGCTTCCTGTTGTCCGGAGCTTGCAGCGGGACCAAGACCAAATGTGGCTCCCAGCCCTCCTCCTCCTTCCACCCGCCGCAAGAGTAAAGCCAGACTGGGCAATTGTAACGATCGTCTTCTGGTTTTAATCTACAAACTGATGTTTTGGATTTTTAGAAGTATATATAGCAAGATTAAGATACTCTCAATGCACCATATACTTCTTCAGTGGTCATCTCCCACTTTCGAGCCTACAAAGGGCTGCCACAGGGTCTGGGCAGTCCCTGTCCTACATAATCTCCTAAGAGGAACTGAGTGGACCCGTCAAAGAAGAGTCCATTGCCAAAAAAAGTATAGAAAATCATCCCTTATCGTAGATGGAAGCTCCATCCTTGCACTTGAATTTACCATTAACAACCTTTTTTACTACTTTAAATAAATCACTTTTTTCTTTTATTTCAACCTTGTGCCTAGCTACTACAGTGAAAAGTACATCAAATGTACCTAGGCACACATGATTTGAAACACTGGATTTTCATTTCCAGCATTGCTAACTAACGAGAACAACTTTTTTCCCCCCTCTTCGTCTTTGTAGCATCACTTCATGAACTTACACACCATAATCACATCCTCCTAGAGCCTCTATTTTTCCACGGTGTA